ATCTAAAAATATATAAAATATGAATTAAAATTAATAAAAAAATATAATATTAATTCAAATTAATTAACAATTAAAATTTCATATTTTTATATAAAGTTTTGGGTATAAAAAGGTGACCAATGAAGCTTATTAATCTCTTATGCGGGTGTTTGATGAGTTCTCAAAATCGTAATTTAACTGCAACCAAACAAGTTAAAGTTCGTGAAAGAGGACATTAAAGAAACAAAAGGGAAAAAACATTAGTAATTTACTGTAGAGAGAAGAAAGATCCCAAATTTAACAAATTAAAAAAAAAAAAAATACCAACTTAGAAAGCGTGCTTGACCAGCTGGCTGAATTCAACAGTACGAAAACAAATAAAACACTGAGCATGTGGACTACGCTCAAGTTAAAGAAATAAAAATGATTGACTTGTTGACTTAATTACCAGTCGGTCTAGTCTGTCTTGAAAACACAAGTGTTAATTACCAGCTGGTCTAATCTCTCTTGAAAACACAAGTGTTAATTAATCAACTATGCAAACCTTATTTCTTGGAAGCATCCTGTAAAAGTTATTGAAAACATGCATCAGACAAAGGAAGACTAACCTTTGATTATAAGCAGGACCAAGTTCTTTAAATCAGAAATAAATTAAGAAAAAATCATTTGTGTTATATCTCTATCTAATTTACCTTTATTTTTATAATTTACTTAATGAATAACTTTTCTATCAACTAAATTGTTGACTAGAATGAGAGCATCACACTTGCAATTTAAATTTCAGTCTCAATTTTTTCTTCATTCCTTACAAACTAGACTGAATGGTGCAATCAAACATGTGAAACACAAAATGATACAATAAAACAGACATAGAGCAAAATTTATTGCAAGCAAAGAGGAAATAAAAATGTAGTCTTGTGGACTGGAGTGGCTAAGAAGAAGAAAGCCTGAAATTTCCCCTTTTTTTTATCTTTTTTTATCAGATAAAAGGAGAAAATTGAAAATTGAAAATTGCTTTAGAAATTGTTTAAATATTTAATTTTTTTGTGTATTAATTTATTAAGAGTATTTAATTTTTTTATTACTATTCTTAATATTTTAATTGTAAGAAAAAACTAATTTTTAACAATCTCATAAAAGAAACTTATCTTAAAATTTCATTTCTGTATCCTTGCATTCTGAAGAAGCATTTTGAACCTGAAAAGCAACAAGCAGAGGCGACTTGTCTGCTATTTTCAATGAAATACGTAGTGCAATTGCAGAAGATGACAAAGTTACAAATAAGCTTAAAACATACCATCTCCCTCGGGTTCCAGGGAAAAAGACAAAAAGTGATGGCACCTAAAACTTGAATGTTCTCTGCAAATTTCAAATGCCACTTGACAAAAATATGGTTGTTATATTAGTTGTAATTGCTGATGAAGCATCACTATATGCTCAGTTTTTTGGCTACCTACATTGAACTCTCTCCGTTTGCAGCAATCTTTTCTGGTCTCCTTCACTCCCCCACGAGGCAACCCAGCCCTGATATTAGTTGTAATTGCTGATGAAGCATCACCATATGCTCAGTTGCATCACCATATGCTCAGTTTTTTGGCTACCTACATTGAACTCTCT